TCTAGTGTGGCGTTCACTTCTTCATACGGGCCTTCTTTCCCAACAAAATGCACCGTTGAAGAACAATTTCGTCTTGGTAGCTCTTTTGGGACTTCATTAGCTTCACTCTCGGTATGTCACATGCAGGATTGATAAGTTGCCAGGCGCTTTCGTTAAACTTACACCGAGAACTACACGTGCTACCCCTGTCCTTTCCAGACCAATCCAGGCCTCCCTTGACCATCTCGAGCACATGGCTAGTGCATCCCATGGATGTCGACATGTAGGCAAATCCACGCGCTGTGATTCGTCAAATTAGCCGATCTCTGGTTTGTCATCATCAATATAATTGATCTTTTATGAATATCTACGTCACAGCTCATTGAAAAAGGGACATTCGCATCTTGAACCACAACCATGTCCTCCGTTCCTCTCCCTGCTCGTGAACCCAATCCAACTAACGCTGCACCCGTCTGGCCTATTACAGCGTCCACTGGCGTCTCTGTTCCCCTTACCGCCAACTGTGGCCAACCCAATCGTGAAGATGGTGTTTGCTGCAAGGAACTTAAGGCAGATGAACGTACTCTTATCGACCCCGACGTCGTGCGCGACGTGTAGGCTCTTCTGGCCCTTATTAATGACATATACTGACAGTATTTCAGCGTTATCGGGCTCTCGGATGGTCTCACAGTCCCATTTGCCCTGACGGCAGGTCTCTCCTCACTTGGCGAATCCAGACTTGTTGTCTTGGGCGGCGTGGCGGAACTTATAGCTGGTGCTATCTCGATGGGCATTGGCGGTTTCCTCGCTTCGCAGTCCGAACGCGACCACTACCGCTATCTGCGAAACCAGACTGCAGCGAGGGTTGTGCGGAGCTGTGACGGAGAGATGGAGCGCGAGGTCGCTGAGGTATTGGTCCCTGTGGGCGTTGACGAGAAGACATGCCGGTCCGTTGCGCAATGCCTTCGCGAGGTCGAAATGCAGGCTCATGCGGGCGGGCACCCGCGTGACGAAGAAACAGCTCTTAGGTGGAGCGGGGACGTTGGCATCACTGCCTTTTTGCTGAAATTTGGGCTTGGAATGGGTGCGTCTCTTATCCCGGTTCTTCTATCTTTTCTCCGTTGGGCGTTATTTAGAGCGCCGATGTTTTTGCGTCCGGAAAGTGACTGATCGTATTTATAGAGGAGGTACCGGATCGCAGGCTGTATATATCGGCTTTTACCATTGGAATGGGCTACCTTATTGGTGGTTTAATACCCCTCATGCCCTATTTCTTCATTCCCCGAGCACATATCGCCCTCATCTATTCTTGCATTGTCACCGGAGTGATCCTCCTTATCTTCGGTGCGGTCAAGTCACACGTTACAGGCGCAGGTATTGGAGCAATGGGCTATGTCTACGGCGCGTTCAGCACACTTTTAGTTGGCGGAATAGCAGCAGGAGCCTCTTTCGGAATAGTCAAGTTGTTGGAAGGATAAAGTTGTTTTCTTTTGCCTTTCTCTGAATGTATTTTGGTATGCATGAAACTGTATTGTTAGGGACACTTAGAAAAGTAATACGGGTCACAGATAAGGGGAGTTTTTCGATAGACCAGATAGATTGAATGTGCTTGAAAATTTGAAGTCGACACAAAATAAACTGCCCCGGAGAGACTTGAACTCTCGATCTTCCGATTTGAGAGTATTAACAGTCGGACGCCGTAACCAACTAAGCCACAGGGCAGATATCTCTTAGTTTCCATCCAATAATACTATAGCAAAAGGAATAGCTACTGTGATGGCTCTTAAGATCTTAAGTTCTCTCCCAAGTTCCTAATACAACAATCTTCACATTTTCCCGCCTTGTTCGTACCCTTCTCGATCTTTTATATTTTAAGCCCTTTACAATGTTCTTACCACTCAAGGCTCTGGCAATGTCTCCCAAACCTGAGTCTACTCGAAGAATCACTGAAACACTCCCTTTCGGTTGATTTTCTGAGCTCTTGAATTAGCGCTCCTCAGGCAATCACACCACTTTTTCTATGAGCGTGGAATGGCAACAAGTTCGCCTGATCTCCATGGGTTGAGTAAAAGTTAACGCACGTTCAATCATGGACTCGAGTCACCTTTTACTTTTGAGTCATCAAGAGGCGAGTCATCTGGCTTGCCTTAAAAGTTCGTGATGGAAAAGAACCCTACTCTACCTCGCGTTGTATTATAGCGTCTTGTTGCCTGATTTATTCTCTTGCTGCTATTTCCCCCTTCGTCGACCATGTCGTTCCCGATCGCAAGACGCGCCAATGTTGGACCAAAATCCGCACGCATTATCAAGACACCGTCCACAAAAATCGGTATCACGGCAAACGCACATATACACGCGCACGTCCGCTACATCGCTCGTTCGACAAAACAAAATGCATTGGTAGCATCCATGATGTGAGCTCACGTTCACTTTCATGGATGCGTGTGTTGACACTTGACATCGCAACAGGCCTGCAGGATCGCCAGAGTTCTCGCACATCCTTCCACCTACTAAAATCCCCATCTCTGGTCCAGGATCATACCCACACGCTCCCCCTGACCAGAGCTTTGTTGGGATGTCGGGGGGACAAATATTCCACGAGATGATGTTACTTCACGGTGTCAAGCACATTTTCGGATATCCTGGAGGCGCCATCCTCCCCGTATTTGATGCCATTTACAAGTCAGAGCACTTGGGCTTTGTACTTCCCCGACACGAGCAAGGCGCTGGACACATGGCTGAAGGCTACGCCCGCATCTCGGGAAAGCCTGGTGTCGTCCTTGTCACTTCAGGACCTGGAGCCACCAACGTCATAACGCCCATGCAAGACGCGCTCTCCGACGGTATACCCCTCGTTGTGTTCACGGGGCAGGTGGCCACATCGGCTATCGGGTCAGACGCCTTCCAGGAAGCCGACATTGTTGGTATCTCTCGCAGCTGCACAAAATGGAATGTCATGGTGAAAGACATTGCCGAACTCCCTCGTCGGATCAATGAGGCTTTCAAAATCGCCACCTCCGGTCGCCCTGGCCCTGTCCTTGTGGATCTTCCCAAAGATGTTACAGCCGCCATCCTTCGCACTCCCTTGCCCTACAAACTCACTGCCCCCGGTGGGCAGCTCAGCCTGCCCAACAACCCATTGCAATCCCTCGCGCCACCCGTAGACGAAGGACTGATCGGGCAGGCAGCAGCTCTAATCAACCAGGCCCAACGGCCTGTCGTCTACGCGGGCAACGGAATCCTCTCCTCATCTCTTGGCCCCAAGCTACTCAAGCAACTTGCGGAGCAGGGCAACATTCCCGTGTGCACGACCCTTCAAGGGCTCGGTGCCTTCGATGAGACAGACGACCGCTCCCTCCACATGCTCGGCATGCATGGCAGTGCATACGCCAACCTCGCTATGCAAGAAGCCGACGTGATTATCGCTCTTGGTAGTCGATTTGACGACCGTGTTGTTGGAAAGGTAGATGGCTTTGCGCCTGCTGCGAAAGCCGCTGCCGCACAAGGTCGAGGAGGGATCATTCACTTCGAGATCATGCCCAAGAACGTCAACAAGGTCGTTCAGGCGACCATTCCTATCCTCGGTGACGTTTCAACGAATTTGACATCCCTTGTGCCTCTGATCAAATATGCGCCACGTAAAGTGTGGTTTGAGGACATTCGTCATTGGAAAAAGACCTATCCGTTCACATATGTGAAGAGCGAAAAGGGCGAGAAAATGAAGCCACAGGAGGTTGTCCAGGAGCTCGACAGACAGACGGCACACCGGAAAGAAGATATCATTGTGACGACTGGCGTCGGACAACATCAGATGTGGGCTGCCCAGTATTATAGATGGAGACAACCACAGTCGCTCGTCACCTCAGGTGGCCTTGGAGTAGGAGGCTTCATTCATTCCAATTTTCACTGATGGTTGACGACTATATTGTAGACGATGGGTTTTGGGCTCCCTGCTGCCATTGGTGCTAAGGTCGCTGCACCGAACAAGACTGTAATTGATATCGACGGTGATGCCTCATTCAGCATGACGACCATGGAACTTGCCACTGCTTCGCAATACAATCTCGGTGTCAAGGTGCTCCTCCTTAATAATGATTTCCAGGGAATGGTTCTCCAATGGCAAGGCAAGTCCTCCTAACTTGTCGTTCTCCGAACTCTGTGTACTACCTTCACACCCAGATCTCTTCTACCACCATCGTTACTCTCATACTCAAATGACCAATCCTGATTTCGTTCTTCTCGCAAAGGCGATGGGAGCCCATGCAATTCGGTGCCACACTATTGAGGAGCTACCTGGCAAGATGAAAGAGTTCTTAGAATACGACGGTAACAAGCCTGTGGTGATGGAATGTTTGGTCACGAAGAATGAACATGTGTTGCCCATGGTACGCCCGATCATTGCATATTTCTTGATGATCGTTCCCAGCAATCAATTAAAATAACAATGCAGGTACCTGCTGGAAGAGCTCTACACGAGCAGTTGCTGCACCCTTCATTGATGATCGAAGGGAAGAACGCCTAAACATACCCAACTACACCAGTTAGGTCCAAGTCCAATATCAATATACATAATACCCCTTGGATTTGTTTTCGACTGTTACTACACCCAGTCGCAAGAAAGTCCATGAAATGTGCGCTCTCGGGTTAGTTTCGGGCTGATGGACATAATCCAATTAATAAGAATTCAGGTAATGTAAGTAACTACCATGAAGCCCGAAGCCACGATCATCGTGCTAACTAGTACACATATTTGGAAGTTCATTGAAGATGAGATAGCATTTATACCCTCTTCCTCTACCTCTTCCTCTATGAATCATCGGTGAGAAATGTTTTACGTAGTAATTTCAAATATGTATAAGTGATATTTGACAGGTGCGCCACAGTTTGGGGGGACTTAAGGTAATTTGCCGATTTCCAAACGCTTCTGAATAGGACATGTCGAGAATTAGGCAACCTGAAACTAATACAAAAGCCAAAATGGGATATGAGATATCAATAAACCTTATTATTACTATTTCAACGGTGAGATGGCCGAGCGGTCTAAGGCGCCAGACTAAGGATCAGGGTAGCTGCTACCTTCAGTGTATAAACTGTCATCTGGTCTCTTCGGGGGCGCGAGTTCGAATCTCGCTCTCATCATATTTTTATTTGATTTGAAAACTGGCAGGATGGAGAACTGCGAACTTGGCAGTCACCCTTTGCCGACTAGGTATAGATCCCTTCCAGCCCGCTGCCTACTAGAGTGGGACTCGAACCCCAGTTTAATCCGAGACTGTTTAGGAAATTTCTTTTTTTTATTCCTCTCCTTTACGATGTTTGCTATGGCACAGTGAGTGCGCTCATCATCAGGCATTATTGTCATTCAATCTCCGGTTTATGGTTGCCGACCTGAGCCATGGTCTATTTTGCTGAGGATGCAACGCCCCTCACTTGTTGCGTATGGAGACACTGCATATGGTTACTACGGCATGTAGCACACACCATTCCAGCCTCCCACATACCGGCTAGAGGCATGGGTAGGGACATACTGTATACGGTTTTGATGGTTTTGTAGAACACACCACTCCAGCGCGTAAATTACCGTGTAGAGGCATGCTCATGATGGGCGAAATGGGGGTCAATCCCTTCAACGCTAGATGCAGCTGCTTGAGGGGCACACAAGGACCACGATGGAACGTCATGATGGGTATCACATATAATCGTCCGCATTTCCTCCGAAACTACAAGTCGAGGGAGGAAAGCGGCAAGTCTGCTTAAAAGGGTATCCCAGCCACGCCAACTTCGTCACTCAAGGCCCCACGCCCCATACCTCAAGGCCCACGCACTCGAATGATACTACGCCCGCGTTCTTTGTACCCGGAGAGCACAGTGGCTCGTTTGCAAAGGTCGGACACGCCGCACTAGAGCCTTCGTACAATTCGTCGTCGAGATACAGTCCGTAATTACCGTCGCTACAATTCACTTGAAGCATCAGGACGAGGAAAAAGGCAGCAGTGGCGTAATACGAACCCGCCACCGAAGGAGATGAATTCGGGCTCGCAAAGTGCGACGTAGTTGTTCCTCCCTGTCCACTTAAAGACCTGCAACTTTGCGCCGATATACTTCCACAGGAAACTGCAGAAAGCAAGCATCAGCCTCAAACTCAAACTCTACCACATCATCCGTACCTCTCGCCGCTCCCATAGTACCCTTTACCCCTGCTAGGATGCACACCCTCCTTGCCCATCCAAGCACCAAACAGCCCATCCCCTGCATCTTTGATGACAACGAGTGCGCCCGCTGGGCCAGACATACTCCCCGCCTTTACCTGCATGTGTGCCTCACACCGTTCGTACAGGGTGTTGAGAGAAATGCCATGCTGGTCCAGCGAATAAATCAGCGCCCATTTCTTCGGCAGGCGAGCCAGCGCTGGTAGGTGCGAACGGATCTTAACGGCAGTCATCAGAAAGTTGTCTCAGAGAAACAAAGGCAGACATACCATATCAGCCAGCGGCGCTTCCAGTACATTCGTGGTTGATGCTTTTCGCTCCGTCAAGACGACACTGGCGGTCTCCTTCTCTACGCGATGACCAATGTCTTGGGGAATGTCGACTGCAAAAGGCGAGACGACCTTGGGCCGACCGAACGGCGTACCATGGGAGATCTGCGCGTCAACAGAAGAATGAGAATGGGGATATGAGGGCGTGCGGTACATCGGTCGTGAGGAAGTCGTGCGTTCGGAGCTCTGGGATCGCTGTGAATCTGGTTGAGCAGTAGAAGAAATGGATTTAAGCGTGGGATGAGCGTAGTTCGGTATTGGGCGGGAATCGTGTTGTGGTTTGGATGATGCGCGAAGGGAGGACATCCATCGTGAGGAGAGGTTTGAAAGGGTCGAGTAGGAGGATGAACGGCGTGGGTTGGAGAAACGGTCTTCAGCGTCAGGCGGGGGAGAAGACGTGAACGAAACGCTGTGTGTATCAGCGAGAGGCGGTGCTGGAATCACTGGTAGGGCAAGTGTAGACGACCTGGATGGTGACTGATCGGGACGACTGGTCGTACGAGACTGTGTCTGGGCCGATGATGGTTTTGAAGTGAAGAATTCATGGTCAAGGTCGATCAATGGTTGCTCCGTTGTATTAAACTGCTGTGCGACGGGCGTCCGGCTGTCAAGAGCATCTTCCACCAAGTCTAAAAGGTCTCCTGTAGGGTGAAGTGGTTGTTTCTGCAGCTCCTCGCCACCTTCTACCCAGTAAAGTGGTTCGTCCTCGTGCTTCAATAGCTCATCGAGAACCGTCTGCTTGTTGTGATCGGACGCGACCTTGGCATCCTGAGTAAACTTGTCGAAAAACGTAAGAGTAGAATTTGCAGCCAATGATGATCGTTCCTCCTGACTTGGCAACCCAAAATCCAAAGCTGTAAGCGGGTCTTCTAGAGCGGATACAGACACAAACGAGCCGAAGTCTGAATCAGATTCGGAAGTTTTCTGACGCACATGCCGCGACTTGGGCTTTATGGGTACCGCATCCATGTCTGCCGTCCTTGTAGAGAATAATGCAGAGAACATGTCATCAGCCACCGGTTTTGCAGCCAATGATCCATGTAAATCGGAACTCGACAGCATATCTGAATTTTTCCCTTCAATAAAGTGATTAAAATACACGTAGAGACCATCTAGCGCAACACTCACTGCAAGTTGAACAGAACCAAGTCCATCGGCCACGATGCCAGATGGCCGTTAATCAACGTTGATGGTTTGAAGGAAGTTCCATGATTACCGGTTGATGGAATCTTATCTGAAGGTACAACCTCCACCTGCACGGTTCGAAGTTATGGAATTTATGTATCGAAATAACGCAAATGGTCCTGACGCACAACCGAATTTCGGCGCCTCAACTGACGGAGATCCGAGAGAGGCCAGCGATGCCCACTAGAAACTAACACTGAATCGATTGGGTATGCATCTACAAAAAAGTCAGTCCCATATCTGGCCTGATATGGGACTAAGAAGCCAGCTATGGCCCATTTCTGGCTTATGAATCGTATTGGGCCAGATATGACTCATATGAGACCAACTGACCGAGGTAGAAGCTGATACACTGATGTGGAGCATTCAACCTGTCCAAAAAACCCCCATTTATGTCAGTATAAGTATGAAGATAAAGTGCTCAGCGTGCTCCGAAGAACTCTCCCTCTCCCTCGCACACTGTTGGGAAGTACTGTGGTCTAATAGAACTCGTACTTTTCACTCATGACACCTCAAGAGCGAGGTCACCTTCAGGGCATGGGCAAAGCCATACTCCGGGAGACGTTCTCGAAGCAAAGCGTTGTCACTTTCCTTTATGGTTAGCCTCGTTCCCCCGATTTTTTTCCTCATTGAAAACAGCCCACGGGACTTGTGTAGGACTATTTGCGCCACTGTCTGTGATCGTCATTTACTCTCTCTTCAAGTCAAGGTCAGTTATCACACCCCATGTCAAATCTTTCTCTTACACTGTAATTTCAGGCACACTCTCTCATCAGCTTTGATGATCGGGATCACCTCCATCAGCTTTGTAGCATTGACGCTGTATTTCATCTTCGGAATCTGGGGCCGAGTTCTTGTTATCTTCAACCCTCTCTTTGGTACTAGCAGCAATACATCAGCCAACGACATACTTGGGCCTATCAACGTCGCTCTTTATTGGCTTGTCAACCTGCCGGCGAGTCCCGGAGGCTGAATCTCCCCATGTCCGCCACACCTTACTAACGCCCATTTAGCCGGTTTTAAATGATGCTCTCATAATTTGGCGAGCGTGGGCTATTTCAGGAAGAAGGCGGCGGACCTTGTATCTCTCGATTGCATTATTTCTGACCTCCCTCGGTATGCCGACTGCTTTGTTTTACATCTGCACCTTGAAACGCATGCATTGATCCTATGCAGGTGTGACACTCGCCCTCACAATTTTCTCTAGCAACCCTTCTTTTCCGAACAAAAAACAAGTCAAGCTCTTTGTCCATCTCAACATCGTCTCCTTCGCGATGTCACTCGCGACAAATGTTGTTGCAACGTCTTTCATTGGATATATTCTGTGGTGAGTTGTGTCGCCCTCATGGTATAACAGCTCACGCTGGTGCTATATCGATTGATCAGGGGACATATGAAATATTTTCAGGCTAGTAGTATGAAACCACAGCTTTTCTTCGGGACATGGCATATTCTTCTGCTTTTACTGGAATCTGGAGTCGTCTATTGCGTTCTCCAGGTGGGTAGCCAATGTAATTCGCCAAAAGCATCTAGTTCATTGTACTGTTCAGCTGTTAACTTTCGTGATCCAAATTACGATAACGGCAAACTCACCTATTTCTCAAACAATCGCGAATAATGTCTTGTCAAACATTTACTTCGTAGTCTCCGTAGGCTTAACATCATCTCCTCTGATTCTGATCTGATGCGAGCCTTCAGCTTGTTTATCCGATTCTGACGATCGCGATCATCCGCGGACCGTTTTCAATTGTTAATGTACAGACGTCAGTGGTTGACATACGACCAGAATCAGACGAGACTCGACAGGACTAGGTACGCAAAAGAATGTCTATTCTGAAAGGAATGGACGCCTATCGCAGCCTCTTGTATCATCATGACATACACTGGATATCTCGGTTACGGATATTGGCTATTCGTCGTTGTCTACTCAATCTCTATCGTACCACTACAAGCAGTGACATTTCATACGCAAGACTCAGTCAAAGCATGAACTTGAGTTCTATTACAAGATACAAACGGACTATTTGTAATGGAAGTTCTGGAACGCAACAATAAGGTAAGGCCCATACTAGAGCATCGATACTGCTAGTTGAAAGACAGATAGAAAGATATAAGACAGATAGCAACATATCGTGTGGCGCAGGTAGAGAATTCGGCCATACTTAGTAATCATAGCTGGACTGCAAATGGCGAGGCTTGTTCTTATCACTACAACCTTTATGTATGGGCACAGGTCTTTCAAGCGACCAGGAATTTTCATCAGCGTGATGTGTAGTTTGTGGTCAAGCGCGAGATGTCGTCGCGATGGCGAGAATAATGCGAAGCTCGTCTTTATACTATTACACACTGAGAGAAACGTTAGCACTGTCTGGGATCATACCTAGATGATAGACGGGACGTATGTAGTGGTAAGAGT